GGTCCCCCAACACTAGAAGAAGTTGAGAAAGCGGTAGGTAGCCTGAAACGGGGAAGGGCAGCAGGACCAGACGGACTACCTGCTGAGGTATACAAGAATGGTGGTAGAGTTCTCTTAGTCAGGCTAACGGAAGTGTTAGCCAGTATATGGGAATCAAATACGATCCCCTCCGACTGGTCTAAGTCACTCATCATCCCAGTCTTCAAGAAAGGCGAGAAGTCCTCTTGTGATAACCACAGAGGAATCAGCCTGACAAACATAGTGTCTAAGATCCTAAGTTCTATAATTCTCCGACGCCTGAGTGGAGCTCGGGAACAGCAAGCCCGAGAAAACCAGGCAGGCTTTAGACCTGGCCGTGGATGTATCGACCAAATATTCACACTGCGCCAGGTCCTGGAACATAGGCATGCTTACAGACGCCCGACAATAGCTGTATTTCTCGACCTGAAGGCGGCATTTGACTCCGTTGATCGAGAAGTCTTATGGCAGTGTCTGTCACTGAAAGGCGTGCCTAGTAAGTACATCACCTTATTGAAAGCTCTCTACTCGAACACTTGTGGGCATGTTAGAGCCTATGGTGAGTTGTCCAGGGAGCTATACTCATCAAGTGGTGTCCGTCAAGGATGCCCACTATCCCCATTCTTATTTAATTTTATCATAGATATTCTTATGGAGGTTTCCCTCTCGTCACCTAATTACAAAGACGTTGACCGAATCACAGGTGAATTTTCCTTAGATCTAGAATATGCAGATGACATAGTCCTGTTAGGTGAAGACGCTGACAAGATGCAGAGTCTTCTGAACACTTTGAGTGGGAATTTGAGAATGTTTGGGATGCGATTTTCACCACCCAAATGCAAATTTTTGCTCCAGGACTGGTCTTCAGCGGTACCGCGGTTAACAATAGAGAGTGAAGTGGTTGAGTGTGTTGACCACTTCACTTACCTGGGAAGTAGGATCAACCCTGGTGGGTTAGTTGCCGATGAGATTTCTGCACGGATACAAAAGGCTCGATTGGCTTTTGCCAATTTGCGCCACCTATGGCGCCGCCGTGATATTCGTTTGTCTATTAAGGGTCGCGTGTACTGCACAGCAGTCCGCTCTGTTCTACTGTATGGCTGTGAAACATGGCCATTGAAAGTGGAAGACATAAAGAGGTTTCAGGTATTTGACCACCGTTGCCTTCGTAGTATAGGACGTATTCCGTGGTGTCACCATGTGAGTAATGCAGAAGTTAGGTGTAGAGTTTTAGGGAGAAGAGGTAAGTCAGTCGACGAGGTTGTGAACCTTCATCGACTGAGATGGTTGGGACACGTACTACGTATGCCTTTTTTTTTATTGCCTCGTCACACAATGTTGGCTGAGGTGGGTTCAGGCTGGAAAAAGGCCCGAGGTGGCCAGACTAAAACATGGCACCAATGTATGAAGTCTCTGACTGTTGGTTTAAGCCATGTAGGACGATGCAGACTAGGTGGTTGGGGTCCACGGGACAAGAGGAACCAGTGGTTGGAGACCCTAGGTGATATGGCTCAGAACCGAAGTCAGTGGCGCAGATGTATACACACATTATCCTCATCTTAACAACGCTATACCGAATCTCACTATTTTGTCACTCCTCTTTCCTTTCTTCTCGTACTTTATATTTCTTTTGACTGCATTCACTTATCTTCATCCTTCACCTCACTACCTTTTTACTTGATGTGCTGATATGAGGTGTGGCAACTCGGACCGTTACGCAGTAATGCCTGGTCCTATGTTGATAATGAGTCAAAATGATCCCCCTGTTTGTTATAACTTCATTCCTTTCTCTCAGACTGGAATGACCATTGAAGTAGACTAGTCTGACAAGACTTGTTCTTAATATACTACCTAGCACCTCCGTTAGTCCCACTCAGTAATTTCTTACCTCGTCCTTAATAACTTCTGAAGGCAAACAATCGGGCTTTCCTGTCTTGTGTTGTCTCAGGTTTGAGATAACTTCCCAAACTTCGAGGATATTTGGAAGACCGACATCTACATCCCATACAGGTCCGGCTGAATATCTGTGGCCCAGTCAAGCTGCACTTCAAAGTGCCTCGCTCAACGTTCTATCCGCCTGTCGCGAACGGTTATCATTGTCCCACCCTCCTCGGTCATGGCCTCACTAGATATCTTCTTGCTTGCATCCCTAATAAACCTAAGTAGTTGTCGAGTATTGACGACCTATCTCTGTCGACTCCTCGCAATAATTGCAAAGTCCCAGTCAGTTCAAGTTTGAACTGCTTCCGCTCATTGCTGCGGTCACAGTCAGTTACAGTGAGTCTCCTTGCACCAGTTGGGATTACATTGTAGAAATCCACTGACGTTGTAGATTACCAACTTCCTTTACCACTATTTCAACAGCGGACTGAATATCAAGTCAGGCTTGGTCAGTAAGAGAATAGCTGTCGCGTTTAATAAAATGCTTGGCTATTTCCTTCCTTAATACGCGCTTGACGTTCTCGCCTTCAAATCCAGCACACTCAGGCTTCACTGCTTTCTGCGAAACAAACACATGGCTACACTGAAGTGTGATTGGAGTTCAAACAGATAGGTAATTCATAAGAGCGATAATCCTCCACTGATCCTTTTCAACGATGGCTTGTATTAACATAATGTATGTCCATCGTTGGTTTGATGTGGGAGAGCGCCAAGTGAGACTGTCTCTCCTTTTGCTTATAGTTAGTGCTGGCCGAAAACAAATGATTGTCGGAACAAAGTAGCAACGGACGATCAGTTTTCGGTTCGTAGGCATGGAATTCCGTGAATACCCGTTTTCCGACTGCCTCAGCTTCCCTAATTGAGCGTTTAAGTCACCTATCATTATGACTACATCTGAACGTTTTGCCTTATGTAGCAAAATTGACGGCTTTCAACAGAATTCATTCTTTGCATCATCCGAACTGCAGTCGGTGGATGCGTAGACGGCGATTACGAATAGGCATCCACCAACCTCACGATCCTTCCTAGTTCTTACAGATCTATTCACTCGAACAGTACATGAACGGCTGTTGACTAGTATCCAGTCGATAAGTGTTTTCTGCTTCACACCTTAATATTATGCCTACATCTGCAAGTTCATGAGAGTTAGCCCTCGAATCTCAGGAGACTCGTAAAGTAGGTTTTGAAGACTCAACGAATTGGCCAGATGACATCAAGTTCATAATTACAATCGAGTCCTGTATATTAGTCACAGAAACAGCATACATCCATGATTCAAGTCCTGTAAAGAGATACCTGTTGTCCGAATTGGCATAGGGTCCGGACGTTGAAAGCCTCAATGTGAAACCGGCAACATGGTTTTAGGGAATTATAAATGGTGCTTTGCTGGCTTATATCATTGGCAGTGGACGCGGGGTTGAGGGAGCGGTAAGAAGCTTAATACTAGTACCAGGAAATGAAAGGAGAAAGTTAAGGATGGTAGGCTGCTTAGTTTTTGTATACTTCTGTAAGCGTGGGGTAGTACTTCTCGGTCCCCACATCACAGAAGTTTCAACAAAGTTTGGTGTGACCGAAGAAATCACGAGACATTATGCTAACACCAGACAAACAAAACAGAAAGACTATGGCCAGAGAAGAGTGCAGCTTTTGGAGTCAACCCCTCCAATAGAAAAGACAGCATCAGTACGGCACTGCTGGTGATCCGTGAGCAACACCTTACTGTTGTGACACCCCCAGCTAGGAGTGCAACTTCGCCCTCGGAGACCTATCATGGTGTAGCAATCCACACTGTAACAATAATTGCTCTGTCTCACCACTTTCCAATAGACCCTCCCGGTATGGAGGATGTTAAAAGAACAAGTACCAGCCAGAGTGAATTCTTGGGTAATTGCGATATGCAAGCCCGACCACTCTGTTCGGGTAGCAGCTGAGGAATAAAAGAATTACTGACACTAATACGACTGCATCAGATTAAATGGATTGATACTAAGTGTGGAATGATACATCTAGAGATGAACTGCGCAAGAGCTCAGGTGATACTTTTGTCAGTACGATGATAATCAATGTAACTGATGTATTTAAGGGGATCGTCGATATTTGCCTGGTGGATAATATCGGTACTTATCGTGTCTACCAACCACTAACTTACACCAATCACAAAAGCACATGAGCAGTGTCTGCCTATTTTCTGAAATGAAGTGGAATTTATACAATGTAAGGAATTTTACCCGAAAACCATTTTCAAATGTCGAATAATTATATCCTAATGAGCTTTTAGTTCGCTTATTTTACATGACGTATAGAGAGGTCTGCTTTGCATGAATGATCTACTCTTAGGTAACAGTAACCTTAGGTCTAGTGGAAATTAGGATCAAAAACTGTCAACATGTCAGCCCAAAACTAGTGTCTATCCTTCTAGATTGTGTTCCAATGGTGTTGCCACTAGTCCAAGACGCTTTTGCTTTAATACACAGGATTTTCTGTAAGATGGACTTGCTTGTATAATCCTAGAAGCAGTGAAAACATATGAACTGTGAATGATACTCATAAACAGCCGTCACATGCGTACACATTCTGTAAAGCTGATAGGCTTTTAAAAAAATCTAAATTGTGACGGGCAGTTGGTAGATAGGACTACTAGCATAACATTTTGATACGTAAACCCCCTCCTATTTTTTAAACTGGTGTAATAAAAGCGTTGACGATTAGTCATTTGATATTGGACGACAAGAACTGATAATTGCCACACCAGCTGACACTGCGAAAATGATCTAGTCTGTCTATGCATTCGTGGTCACAGAAGCCTTGACAGACAGACAGATATTGAGGAAACGATTCCCTAGTAAACATTAGTCAGTAAAACAGTTGAAAGTTAGGGAATGAGCAAAACTAAGTAGTATTAAAAATTTTATATTGGCTTTATTTTGAAATGCAATCCGATTAATGAAAACACCAAACACTTGAGGTCTTGCACGAGATAATAATACGTCCTCAAACCATCGGGATCCCTTAATTTATGATCGGAATAAGAAAGCGCTTACTTGCTATTGGTTATGTCAATCAATGATCCTATTTTCGAAGTTGTGAATGATATATGTTCATCTCCGCAGACAATTTCCAACTCTTGGCGTCCAACCCTATCAGGAACAGGCCACGATACATCATCTTCTGACATTATGTCACTCTCCACGACAATTCTTTTTAGTTCTTCCATGACTGAGTGGCTTACGTATGCCTTGTTTATGAGTAAGTAAGTTGTATGTGCATACCTCTTTCCGTATCATTGTATCATTTTTGTAGTTTGAGTTATTAGCATACCTTAACTTTCCTAAAAACTTGTAACTAGAAAACAATCTGCACCTTCAGGTCTGAACTCGAATTCCAGAAACTCATGTCCAAACTTTCCTTTATGCCCAACGTAGTACCGAAGATAAAACGAACCTGTCATCGACTGAGTTGATCAGCGGAACTTTATTTACTAAAAATATGCAAAACATTTGCTTATTTTTACTCACGTACATAGTACGACAAAACCCAACTATAGAAAAACAAGCATAGTTTGGAAGCAAGGCAGTTTGGTATGACATGATATCTACACAGTGCTGAAAAGCATTCCAAGCTTGCAGAAAGTTGAAACAGGTGTACTGCACCTTTGAAGATAGGCTTCCAAAATACGTCGCACCCGTGGATATGTAGACCCGACAACGAACAACTATAAAGTCTCTGTAACCAACGTCAAGAAATAAGAATTATGCTGGTGATTACCGCACAGAAGTGAATTTACACAATCTGATGACAGATCTGATCGTCAATCAATCATTCATTATCAACATAGGACCAGGCATTACTGCGTAACGGTCCGAGTTACCACACCTCATATCAGCACACCAAGTAAAAAGTCAGTGAGGTGAAGGATGAAGATAAGTGAATGCAGTCAAAAGAAATATAAAGTACAAGAAGAAAGGAAAGAGGAGTGACAAAATAGTGAGATTCGGTATAGCGTTGTTAAGATGAGGATAATGTGTGTATACATCTGCGCCACTGACTTCGGTTCTGAGCCATATCACCTAGGGTCTCCAACCACTGGTTCCTCTTGTCCCGTCGACCCCAACCACCTAGTCTGCATCGTCCTACATGGCTTAAACCAACAGTCAGAGACTACATACATTGGTGCCATGTTTTAGTCTGGCCACCTCGGGCCTTTTTTCAGTCTGGACCCACCTCAGCCAACATTGTGTGACGAGGCAATCGGTGACTAGGCATACGTAGTACGTGTCCCAACCATCTCAGTCGATGAAGGTTCATAACCTCGTCAACTGGCTTACCTCTTCTCCCTAAAACTTTACACCTGACTTCTGCATTACTCACATGGTGACACCACGGAATACGTCCTATACTACGAAGGCAACGGTGGTCAAACACCTGAAGCCTCTTTATATCTTCCACTTTCAATGGCCATGTTTCACAGCCATACAGTAGAACAGATCGGACTGCTGTGCAGTACACGCGACCCTTAATAGACAAACGAATATCACGGCGGCGCCATAGGTGGCGCAAATTGGCAAAAGCTAATCGAGCCTTTTGTATCCGTGCAGAAATCTCATCGGCAACTAACCCACCAGGGTTGATCCTACTTCCCAGGTAAGTGAAGTGGTCAACACACTCAACCACTTCACTCTCTATTGTTAACCGCGGTACCGCTGAAGACCAGTCCTGGAGCAAAAATTTGCATTTGGGTGGTGAAAATCGCATCCCAAACATTCTCAAATTCCCACTCAAAGTGTTCAGAAGACTCTGCATCTTGTCAGCGTCTTCACCTAACAGGACTATGTCATCTGCATATTCTAGATCTAAGGAAAATTCACCTGTGATCGGGTCAACGTCTGTGTAATTAGGTGACGAGAGGGAAACCTCCATAAGAATATCTATGATAAAATTAAATAAGAATGGGGATAGTGGGCATCCTTGACGGACACCACTTGATGAGTATAGCTCCCTGGACAACTCACCATAGGCTCTAACATGCCCACAAGTGTTCGAGTAGAGAGCTTTCAATAAGGTGATGTACTTACTAGGCACGCCTTTCAGTGACAGACACTGCCATAAGACTTCTCGATCAACGGAGTCAAATGCCGCCTTCAGGTCGAGAAATACAGCTATTGTCGGGCGTCTGTAAGCATGCCTATGTTCCAGGACCTGGCGCAGTGTGAATATTTGGTCGATACATCCACGGCCAGGTCTAAAGCCTGCCTGGTTTTCTCGGGCTTGCTGTTCCCGAGCTCCACTCAGGCGTCGGAGAATTATAGAACTTAGGATCTTAGACACTATGTTTGTCAGGCTGATTCCTCTGTGGTTATCACAAGAGGACTTCTCGCCTTTCTTGAAGACTGTTATAGTATAAATTGCTGCACTATGATGGGGGTCTGAGGGCGAAGTCGTACTGCTGCTAGCTGGATGTGGTATGACAGCAGTAAGTTGTTCCCCTTGGATGACCAGCAGTGCCATGCTGATGCTGCCTTCTCAGTTGAAGGGGGGTTAGAAAAGGTCGGCCCCAAAAATAACACTCCACCATGCCCCACGGTCTGCCGGGCCGACGGTGTTAGCTCATTTGTCGTTTCCTTTGGACCATCAGGCCCCAAAAATACAAAAGTTCAAGACAATCATACTCAAAAGGCTGGGTGTGACAGGCCTCAAGCAGATGTCCGATGGGCTCTGCGGTCACACAAATCTCTTTCAGGTACCTTAAGAAGAAATAGCCTTCCACGGTGTGGGCAGCCAGGAAGTGTCAAGCGCCCTCACAACTCTGTCAGCACTCAAGATCTGATCATGCAGATGACTTGACTGGTGGTACTGGCAACAATGGAGTATCCCAACAATAATCCAGGTGATACTGTGGAGATTATAAAGTTTATTACCATGAGACGATTGTCTTTCAGTCAGTCACTTGGAAAGCTCACGAGATATGCACTTAACTGAATTACCAAACTTGGCTAACATCACTTCAGTAGATTTAAAAAGGAACTCTATCGATTATATATGTAAGTGGAAGGGCAGCGAAACTGAACCTTAGGGTTAAATTGCGCTCATGTCTAATAAGGATTGAGGAAGAGCTGTGATATAAGGACACAAGACCACTCAAGCACAAAGTAGTAGCGTCTGTTTGGGAGACAACACGACATCTAGGACGACTCCTTGCGAGTTGTAGTGGGTAATCCTATCAAGGTATATACTCTATCGATATTGTCTTTAGAGAAAAGGACTACAGGTTAGTAGTCAATGTAATATTCCGATGAAGACTTAATTTCTCACTAAACAGGGTCGCCCAAGGAGCTGCTACTACTCGTTTTGGTAATGTTTTAGTTGCTGATCACACCGGGGGAACCAGTACTCCACTTGGAAATGATTCATTAGGGGCTCCTGGTAATCTATGAGATTAGTCGTAGAAAGGGTACAGAAGCCAGATAAACATATATACAATTCACTACTTGAGAAATAAAAAGCTAAACTTAGACCACCCTTTTTTCTACGACAGGACAGTGGAAATAGGTTTGGCCCTGCCAATCGCTGGCCCAAGGACCTGTCATTAATCTGGACCCGCTCTGATAAATCAGTTTCGTCTGAATGCAATGCTCCGAGACTTCACATAAGTGCGGTAAAGAATCCTAAACATATCTTAACCAAGGTATCTGAATGTCCTGCGAAGCCACGAACACTAGCTACAAAAGATTTACTGGTCACAGTCGACTCCAAGTAGTGACCCTGGAAACGTTTCGTTCCTATACCTGAGGTGTGGGTTGACCATCCACCGAGTACCCACGAAAAGTCAGTAACAAGCATTACAGCACTTCCGTTGGAATCGACCTCTAGGTTTTATCACAATAAATCTAGCTCATTAAAGTCAGTTTGGAATGCACTGATAGGATGTAATCCTACTTTAGATTTGTTCATCTAATATACAGCACAGCTCATAATCATACGATTATGAGCAGTAACTTATGGTCGAAACGTCATCAAGCAAATAATACTTCACTGTGCCGTATATCACATAAACAAATCTAATATCGAACTGAATGATCTTGTATATATTTGTATTACCAGTGGATATTAGTGACGACTCAAACACGACTGGTACTTCATCCACGTAAAGAAACGAATGATCGAACGACACTGCCTAAGGAACACAACAAGTTGCAGGCTGCAACTAAAAAGGTACTACATTCTCTTACGTTGCTATCTTCTGTGGTATATATCTCCAATATTGATTGTGAATTTATGAAGCTGATTCACCAACCTAGTGTAACTCATTGTAAAAGCCACTAAAAATTAGTCAGTAGTGAAAAAACCCCGTAAACGGAGTTGAGTTGCGTCCGTAGTATATTATATATAATATCAAGCATTATATCTACTGCTTTACCATCGATATTATTCAGATCAATAGATCGCAAACAAATACCTAGTTGTTTCCTACTTCCCTTTATCCCAAGAAGTACTAAAGTATACTTCCAACCCTCAGAAAGCTGCTCCTAAAAAGAGTGTATTAAGAATACCAGACGACAGTACAAGAATCTTATCCTAGCCAGCACTTACCAAATTTCAGGTCTTTGGGTGACAAACTTTGGAAATCTCGATAGTTTTGGGGAATATTTTGGCCCGGAAGTTAGGAATTTCCGGTTTTCGCTCAAAACTAACAAAGTGATCTCGAAGTAAGTGCTGGGTGTGTAACGTGTAGTTCATCAGGCCCGATAGCTTTCTAACCTCAAAACTTTTAGCCTAAAGACTGAAATTTTCAGCAAACGGCAACCACTCTGCACTTTGTACCGATGAGAAATGATACTTTGTGAACTTGAGAAACGTCGCGCTGCTTACCTTTTCCAAGCCTACAACACACGTCAAACTCAAACACGACAGACGAGATTCCTGAAGCGCGCTACTATTGAAACGACATACTCAACAAATACTATCAAAATGTTTCGGCATAATTGCTACTCTGGTTCATGTCCATGGAGCTGAAAAAATATACTTCAGTTTGGAAGAAATAGATGAAAATAGTATGGGGAAAGGAACTGGTAGTTTTTGCAATCTTGTTTCCTACTGTGCAACATCCAATATCCCCTGAACGAACATAGAAAACTAAGAGCTTTTGGACTCTGAAGTCTTTTTATCAAGTTTGCGCTCTAAGCGTTTCGCTTCAGCCCTTCATCTGTAGCTGGAAACCCTCAGGCTTTCCGGTATTTATCTTTAAGGATGTGAAAGTTTCCTCTTTGTAGTTTGTGTATTCAAAGTAAATACACAGCTGCAGATCAGAGTGTTGACTTCCTAGCAAATTCT